AAACTGCAAATTGTTTTTCAAATGGGCAAATGCTGTTGTTGTTTTCCCAGTTCCTGAAGTCAGTAATTCCTCCACCTTCACGTAAATCCTGCCATGGATGGGAAGGGCATAGAATAGAGGGAGTGAGACAATCAGACCAGTTCTGGGGCTCCCATTCCACCTGGTGATGCTGGTGAGGTGCAGGCAGATGTCTGTCTGGGACATGGACCCTTTTCCCCACCACCTTGGCTGGGGTCTGTTATCCAGTGGTGTTGGCAGGGGTCTCAGCCATCTCGCTTGGGGTGCTAGGGTGGGTAAGGAGAATGAGGGGAGAAGTAGAAACCACTTCAAAGCCTGAGGTCAGAGCAGTGTCATTTGTTCAATGAAATGTCATTTGACGCCTGTCTAACTCTAGTGGGCCCGTGCCGGCAGTGCAGCCAGAAGCCCCCGTCCTTAGGGCAGAGCCAGGGCTCCAGCTCACTGGTGATGAGGGGGAGGGCACCGTCAGGCAGTAGCTAGAACCTTGGACCGCCTCTAGACTCTCCAGCTTCGGCAGACCCCTGGGGACGGGGGCTTGTCCAGGGGATGTAGGGTGGGAGTGGGGTATAAGGGTTGGGGTTTCAGGTCAGCCCACCTTCTCCCAGCTGTGCCTGGGGACCAGCATACCAGGTGACTCCCATCAGGTTCAGACACTTGGATAGGAGCTTCTTGGAGACCCAGGGCTGCTTCATGCAGGACATGATGTGGGGATATGGCGATAGTAGGTACTTTGCAAGGAGCCCCTGTCCAGAGGTTCCCTCCCCACCCCCTTAATCTAGCCTAAACCCTACAGCTTAACAATGAGAAAACAGAAGTCCAGAGAGACAAAGGCCAGGACCAAGGTCATAGTGAGAGTAGAAGTATAGCCGAGGCCTCCTGTCTCCTAGCCACATGCTCGGTCCCATGCTGGGATGATGGGGACATCTTTTATGAAGGGCATTTGGTGTCCTCTACCTGCATGAGTGAAGCCAACTTGTAGCCCTGGCCTTGAGCTGAGCATTCAGGGCGGGGTCCCTGGAAGAGGAGGTAAAGTCTGGCTTTCCAGAGGGTGGGTGAGTTATCCAGCGGGCAGCAGGCTTGGCTAGGTTGTCATGTCTCTCATTTGGCGAGTCTTCCCGGATCCTCCTCAGTTTAATCTTATTCTGTATTTATGATGGGTTGTGAGGGTTTCTTCCCCTCATCCACACTTTATAGAGTTGTTCGTTAGATCTATAAATACCATCTGAGCCACTGTGCCAGACCCCATGTCCCAGTGCTGGGACCTAGAGGTGACCAGAGAGACTGGCCCTGCCCTGGTGAGCCCACGGTCTGACGTGAGAGGCAGCGTGGTGATGGCCTGGGTTGGGGAACAGCTGACTGATCTGGGACCAGTCCCTTCCCTGCTCTGTGCCTCAGCTGAAGAATGGGGATAATGAAGTCCTTTCTTCCTAATATTTGTAAAGTGCTCAGAACACAGCCAGGCACATTGAAAGTACAATATCTATATGTGTGTGTTTGCTTAAAGAGTTATCAAAAGAACAAGCTAATTGTAGGTTATAAGCAAGTGCTGTAGGGGAGGGAAAAAGGGTGATGACGCGGGAGCTTTCTGGGGAGCTGAAAGTGTTTTCTATGATGATGGGCGTGTGGGTCATAGGGGTGTGTACAGTAGTCGAAACTCATTGCACTGGACTCTTGAGGCCTGTGATGTTAGCAGCCTGTAAAGTATTCCTCAATAAACATGGCATAGATCGAAAGAGAAATACAGGGTAAAGGGAGAAAAAGGGGCCCTTGAGGCCCTTTTTAGAGAGGGCACGCAGGGAGGGCTTCTGGGGGGTGACACTGAGGGGAAAATAAGACTCTAGCTTCGGAGAAGAAAGATGAGGAAACTGAGGCTCTCAGAGATTTGGGGCCATGTTCAAGGTCAACTTGAGAGATAAGAGTGATTTCTTGGCAGCTGGGTCTGAGTGGGGCGAGGTCAAGACTTTGGCCCCTGTGATCTGCCCTACAGAGAGGCCAGTGGGGGCAAATATTGTGTGTTCTGTGAACAGCCCTCTGCCTGCACCTGTGTCTGTCCTCAGGACCTTGCACTCAGAGAAGAGCTATTTAAATTGGTACGGGGAATGGGTTCCTGCTCATGCATTGAGTATGGTGGGAGGCGTTAAGTGTCTCCAACTCCAGGCAGCTCCACCTGCTCCTCCGCCTCAGCAAAATCCAGAGTGCTGGCCCAGGCCACGAGGCCATCTTCCTCCTCCTCTCCCTCCATGCCTCCTGTCTCCTTCCAGCCCCATGCCCATCCTCCCATCCTTTTCGTTCAGGGGCCTAGTGTTTACTGCTAGACCCCAGCTGAGGACACCAGGTTAACCTGACCCACTTCTACCCTCAAGCTGCTTCCAGTCTCACAAGAAGTACGTAGGAAAAACAATCAGGGAGGTGCTGGGAGGAAAGTCTTCCAGAGAAGGAGACATCTGATCTGAGCTCAGAATGTTCCTCAAACAGGAGGTGCCCCAATGGAGGAGACAGGGCAAGGGTGCACGTGGCCTGGGCAGAGAGACTTGAGAGACCAAAATCTCTTTGGGACCAGAGCACATCATTCTGGTTAGAACAGTGTTTTTGGGCCAGGGTAGCAGGAAATGAGGTGGGAGAGCAGGGCCAGCCCTGGATGCCGGGGGAGGAGGAGCCTTTTATCTGGAGAAGGGTAGGGGTTGGATTTAGAGTGCAGGGGCACAGGTGAAGAAGGGTCAGAGAGACTGAGAGATGGGGCTGAGACCCCACCAAAAGCCTTCCAGTTGTGTGGTCTTGGGATTTTATGAGAAGAGAGAGGACTTTAATGCAACGTTAAGAAGCTGGAGCAGGACAAAGTGAAGAAGGCATTCAGGAGCCAGCCTGCGGCCCCCAACAGGACATGGTCAAGTCAGACTAGGGAAGAACAGGGGCTGAGGAGAGGGAGAAGGCTTAAGGAACAAAACAGAAAAAAGGGTGCAGAGAAGACAGAGCAGGGAGGGAGAGTAGTCTATCATGGGTGCTGCAGCTACAGACTGGGCTACCCCTGGCTAGAGACACCTAGGACATGGTGGGGACCAGCTGGTACAGTGAGTGAGGGGAAATAAGCCTCTCTGCCCCCAGCACTGTGAGCAAGAAGCTGGTCTTCAGAAATGTGTGGGCACTGAGGAGTGTTTGGGAGGCAAATGCAACAGGAGCAAGGGATCTATGGTTTCTAGGCTGGGGGTGTATGTGTACAGCAGCCTCTGTGTACACTTGCAGTCGCAGTCTGGACTGGGTAATGGAGCAGGGACCCCAGAACTGTCCATCTCCCTCCGTTCCCAGCCTAGGATAGTGGCTGGTAGTGCTCCAGAAGCAGAGGATAAGCATAGGGGTAGCAGATGTGGAACCTACCACTTCCCTCACCACTCCCGCCCTGCCCCCAGATACTGCCCCGCCCCATATTACCTTTGCCTGGAAAGCCTGGCCCTGGAGCCTGCCCTGCAAGGTGCCCTGGCTTTCCCTACCTTCAGAGGAGGAAGTGAAGGCCCAAGGCCCGGGCAGCCCAGGGTCCTGTAGCTGCCCAGCAGGGTGCAGCGGGTTTGAAGCCCCAGTCTGGGCATCAACTGTGCTCCTCAGCTGTGCTCAACTAGGAAACAAACATGGCTAGCCTTGGGTGAGCAGCTCTGTTGGGAATGGTTTGTCCCTGCTTCCCCCATCCTGAGCCCCCCCATGCTGGCTTCTCTTCCTCCTACACCGCCTCGCAGCTGGACCACTGCAGCGCTTGCTCATTTCCTATGATTCGCCTTATATTTGGCAGCTGTAGCCCAGGGCTGAGTTAAACCTGAGCGAGGAGCCTGACGCCCGCCTACCTGATGCCTGCTTTGCTGTGATGCATCCTGTGGGGATGAGTCTGTTATTACTCTATTTTACAGAGCTGTGGGCTGTGGCTTGGTGCTGTGAATATTTGCCTGAGGTCACACCACGTCATTGAAGGAATTCAGTCTCAAACCCAAATCATACCACTCTGGCTGTCACCTCTCCCACTCCTTCCTGACCCCGGACTATCTCTGGGTCTACACCCCTCATGCTGTGGTCTGTAGGTTCTAGCCTGGTTACCTTGAGGCAACCCCAACCTGCCATCAGTGAAGGCAGCACTGCCACCCCGGCCCTGCATAGCACCTCCTGGGAAGCTGCAAAATCCCTCAGAAGCTGGGGACTGACTGGGTGGTCGTGACCAAGCAACTCATTTTAGAAGCAGTTTTCTTGGTGGTGACAGTTGTATTTCTGTACCCACTCCCAGAGAACTTGAAGTTTTAATTACCCTCACTTCTGCAGGAGGAGCATGGTGTTGACTCCCTCCACTCAGGGCCTGGCTCCTTGATGGGATGAACTGGCAGACACAGCCCTCAGCACCCCCTACAGGAAGCCTTCCCTTATGTTTCAGCAATCTTCTGGTCATGCTGAGGTCTGCAGGGCACCCTTCCTTCTCCCCAGCCCTTCCTCTGGCACCCTCCTCTATGTTGTTTCCCCTAGAGGTGCAGGAGGAGGACCGTAGGGGAGTGTCCTGCTATGTGCCAGGTGCCATCCCGTGCACTTTACATGTACAGTTCCCAATCCTGTTTGCCACTGTTTCACCCCATCGTAAAAATGAGGCTCAAGGGATATGTGGCCCCTGAACTGGGTCCCACAGCTGGTGGGACTACAAAACTACTTCCCTTGTTGCCCCTGAGAAGAGAATTGGGGCTTCCCTGGCCTTCCCTTCTCTCGCAGGCTCTCATTGAGCTACCAGCCAGACTGCCTGAAGCTGATGCTCTAGATGCTCTATCAGGTCTGAGGCTCACTGGCCCCAAGGCTGGGAAACCTGGACTTGAATCCATTCTGCCCCTTCTAAGCTGCATGATTTTGGGCCCAGCACAGACCTCTCTGAGCTCAACTGGCCTTGTCTGCAAAGCAGCATTATCTGGTTGGCTGCTGGGGAGGTTGGCTGTGAGCCTGACACATTCTGTGCCCACTGCCCTCAGCTCCTATATGACAGTCCCAAGGCCCGGCAGGAGGTGGACCACCACTGGCAGGCCTCGGGTGGCCCCCACATTGTGCGCATCCTGGACGTCTATGAGAACATGCACCACGGCAAGCGCTGTCTCCTCATCGTCATGGAATGGTAAGCAGACCCACCCTACCTTGGCACCTCAGGAAGACTCCTGTGCCCCCTAGGCTCCTCACCATTCTTCTGGGGCTCTCTCCATTCTTCAGTTAGTGGCCCAGGAGGCACCCCAGCCCCTGAATGGTAGTGGAGGGGGCAGCTGCCAGTCCTGCCCATGGAGTACATCCCACAGGGGTGAAGGAAACTTCAGGGGCTCTGATATGGCTTCCTGGGGTGTGAATTCTGCTCTGTGAAGAGGGGTTGAAAGAGCTGCCAGAGAATGTAGGGGAGAGGACACTAACGGGAAAGTAGGACATGCATAGTTCCCTTGGCTTTCTCCTTCCTACCCTCTTGTTCCTGTGGCCCCCTCGATGCTGAGTGACTAGGGCTTAGAACCAGGAGCCAGCAGCCTTCTCCACCTGGGTTTCTCCACTAGCATTGTGGCTCAGCCCTAATATTCCTCAGACTCTGGGCCCTGGGTCTATGCCTCCTGTTCTTCCATGTCTGTCTTTCAGGTTAGCCAGTTCTTAAGTCAGATTTCAGGGACAGATCCTGGCTCTGCCGCTCGCTAGCTGTGTGACCTTGGGCAGCTGAATCTCTGTAATTCACATGTAAAATGTAGAGAAAGATCTTAATATAGCTCTCACCCTGAGCTTGGCTCTTCTCTACATGCTCTTTACAATTCTGTGAAGTTAGTGTTATAATCCCTGTTTTATAAAATAGGAAACTGAGCTACAGAGAGATGAAGGGGCCAGTCCTAGGTCATGTAGCAGTGTACACAAAGGGGTTGTGCAGGGCTCAGCACATAGTAGAGACTCAGAAAACTGGTCATGTTGATGATATTGACATCTCATTCCACATTTTGGGAAACTGAGGCTTGCATGGGGGTGCGGCTGTCCAAGCCTCAGCCAGGTGGAAATAGTGTCAGTGGGAACACCTGGCAAGGATCTGAGCCCCCACCCTCCTTAGTTCTAACAGTTCAGTTCAGCGCATTCAAGCCCACAGTCCACCATGCCACAGGTTCTGCATAGGGAGGTTGACAGTGACTGTTCCCATGGGAAGAACAGTTGGGCCTGAGACCTGGGCCCATGATTTGGGGCAGGGGCAAGTTGATACCTGATTGTTTCCCTCCCAACATAGTCACCTTCTCTTATAGCATGGAAGGTGGTGAGTTGTTCAGCAGGATTCAAGAGCGTGGTGACCAGGCTTTCACTGAGAGAGGTATGTTCCTGCTGCTGGACCATTGCAAGGATTTGGGCTGGTATGGATGGACCAGAGTTGTGTGATGCTAAGTGAGGCCCTGTTCCTCTCTATGCCTCAATCTCCCCGGACAAGAGAGGGTGGGATATCCATCCTCCAAGGGATTCTGTGAGTTTGTGACAGGTTCTTGGAGATGGACTCTCCTTGGCCTTGAGGTAGAGGTCTATTGGAGCCAACCAGCTTCTGAGCTGGGGGGAGATAGCCCCGTCCTGAGGAAAGAGGTCCAGGTGAAGTAGAGGCGTCCCCAGAGGAAGCTAGGGTGATTGGGGTGGGGGTATGGGATGCAGATCCTGGGTGGGAGGACTGCTGCTACTATCTTGTATTGGCCTGAGAGGCATGAAAGGTTGAGAGCCTTCAGGCCATCTGACCTTTGACTGGCATCCCTGACCTCCTCTCTCTGTGCAGAAGCTGCAGAGATCATGCGGGATATTGGCACGGCTATCCAGTTCTTGCACAGCCAGAACATTGCCCACCGAGATGTCAAGGTGAGGCTCCAGGATCCAGTTTGAGGGGAAAGGAAGGAATCTATCCATAACCACTGATGGCTCCCAGCATCCACTGGATGGAGATGAAGTTCCTTGGTTGGCATTCAAGGCCTCTGTCCTCTGGCCCAGCCTGTTCTTAGCCTCTTCTCCCATGGAGAAGCATACTTACCCTGCTGTAGTCTTATTTGCTTCAAACATGTGTGATTCTAGTAGCAATAAGTACAACTGAGTGTCTTTGTCAAGCCAGTAGGCCCTGACTCACATCTCATTTAATCCTCATCCAGCCTTGTCTCATTTTACAGATGGGGGAAAGTGAGGCCATGCAGTTATTGCATGGGATACATTCATTCATTTGTTTATTCATCAAGAATTTTTATGAACATGCAGTGTACCTGGCCTTAGGTCGGGGCTGCCTGACATGTTGGAGCAGCTCTGAAATAACAGCCATAGTCGCAATAGTACTAACCCCTCTACCATCATTTAAAGGGGAGAAGCCACTTGCTGGGCACTGGATGAAGGAGCAGAGATAGTCCCAGTTGCTGGTCTTTCTTACCCCGTTAGTAGATAAGCTTGAGTGATGTTTTGGAGTCTCAGCTTTCCAAATTCCTATCCAGGAAGGTCATCAGGATCAGATGGATGAAATGCAAACTGAGGCAGCCCACATAAGACTCATGCACACACGTGTGAGCACACATGCTTATACATACATGCCAGTCAGCATCACAGCAGAATCTGCAACTCCTGGGCCTCTGTCCGGCCTAGAGCATGGTCCCCTTCCCTCCTTCCTGCTTATTTCCTTCAATTCTGGGCAGAGGTAATACTGAAGGTCCAGCTGCTGCATCAGGTCCTTCTTCTGGATGAATACCACTGAGTCATATAGTTGTCCTTTGATTTCAGATACACAGGCAACTACAGCAGACTCACCTTCTGAATCCTCGCTTTATTCTGGCCCTGGCTTCCTTTTTTCCTAAGGGGAGAAAATTGCTTTCTTCAAAGGCGATTCTCTTGTGTAGACTAAACCTGCTTTCCTATTTTCATTCCACGCAAAAGTCAAACCATCTCAAAAAGAACCTGGGAAATAACTTCCATTGACTTCAAATCAAAACTTCATCCAATGCCACACCCTTCTACCCCTGCTGTTTTTGGGGGCTCCCTCCTACCGCTCTCCATGGGCCTAGATTCTACCCATTCATTAAAAGCCAGCTTCAGGACCACTTCCTCCATACAGACCTCCCCTCTGCCCTCATCCCTCAGTCCTCTCTGCTCTTCTACCAGGAAGGACTGCCCCTGGAGTCTAAGCAGAGGGGGACTTCTCCTTGGGCATCCTTGGGTGGGGCTATTCTGCTGGCTCATTCTAAGCTGGCTATAGGATGTACAGTGCCAAATGAGCTGCCTTCCCCCAGAGGCCTCATTTTGTCTTTTCATGACATCACCAACTCTGCTTAGAAGGTCCTGCCCCTGGTTCTCTGAGGCACTTGGTTATTCACAGCCTCAGCTAAACACCTGCTTCACTTTCTCCTCCGCAAATGGAGATGTGACCTCCCTGCCACCTTGGTCTTCTCCAATTTAGCCAAGGCTCAGGTCTTTTTAATGAGATGGCTCCTGCTTCTCCTGCATTAGGTTGAAGGAGGGAGGAAGCCTGGCTGAAGATCACCTTGGGGTTCAGCTTCCACCTGGTACTTAACTCTAGACCAATGCTTTCTCTTTCTGACCCAGCCTGAAAACCTGCTGTACACATCAAAGGAGAGAGATGCAGTGCTGAAGCTCACTGACTTTGGTTTTGCCAAGGAGACTACCCAAAATGCTCTACGGACTCCCTGCTATACTCCCTATTATGTGGGTGAGTCCTTGGGACATGGTTTATACCTCCCGACCCACATCAGATACCACTGTGGTGTGGGGCAGCTGGTGAGTTGCAGAAATCAAAGGGTTAAAGCCCAGTAAGGAAGGAGGTGGAGAATTCTATCTGAATGCTGGCAGTGACGTGGGGGGTGTAGGGGGGAGTGCACAGAGCCTGCAAAAATATTCTCCCAAACTTGAGCTTCTGCTTTTGAAAATAGATCCAGGAAAATTCTGACTGTGGCCTGTGAGCTGAATGACATCACAGCAGCTCTAAATATATACGTGATAAAAGGCTGCCATCAGCTTGGGACGGAGCCCAACCGTGGTTGTTTTTCTCTAGTTTTTAATCTTCCTGGGATTCATATTCAGAAAGTGGGCAGGTCCTTCCACCTACATTAGAGGGATACAGGGCACCAGCCTTTTGCCTGTGGGAGAAGGTCCCTTAGGCCGGGGCCTGGGTGGGACCCAGGGGTGTGCACATACACAAGCTTCCTGGAAAAACTCCCCTGTGAGTTCCCTGTGAATGGGCAGCTCCCAGATCTAGAAACACCCTTGCTGAAAGTGTCCCTTGAGAGCAGGGTGATGACTCGCTTGACTGAAGGCTTTTCTCCCTCAGGAGAAGGGAGCCAGGAGAGGCCTTCGGAGAAAGCTACTTAGGGGGTGGGAAGTCCCCAGAAAGCTGAAACGGCATAGTGTTTTCCGGATATATTCTGCAGTAATTTAAGCAAGAGATCTTCTGGCCTACCTACCTTATTGAACAGACAGGAAGACCAAAGCGCCATGGGGTGGTAGCCAAGCCGGCAGTGGAACCCAGAGCCCTACTCCAGCTTCTCTTTCCCCATGACCTGTGCGTTCAGGCAGGCAAGGAACCCAGGGCCATGGGGGGCTGAGGCCCTCTTGCCTATGGCAAGACCCTTTCAGACCCCATACTGGCCTTCTGAGACCAGCAGAGGGGCTCAAGGCCTGAAGGAACTAGAGGGTTAGCATTGCTTACAGACCAGACTAAAAGCAGGTGTTTTTTTCTTTTCTTGCTGGGAGTTGTTTCCCCCCCTCAACTTCGCACACATGCTCCTTCCCTGAAGGTGCCAGACACCAGTCTGCTTGCCCCACCCCCAACCCGGGCACCTCTCCCCATCTTGCCCAGGCTCCAGGTTTCCACCTGGGCTCCAAGACTCTTGGGGCTGAGAATCTTCTTGTGCCCTCTGCCCCGGTAGCCCCTGAGGTCCTAGGTCCAGAGAAGTATGACAAGTCATGTGACATGTGGTCCCTGGGCGTCATCATGTACATCCTGTGAGTACCGCCACCTCCGCTTCCTGTACCTCTCACCCTCCACTATGTGCCCCCAGTGCCACTTCTTACCCCTCCATTGCTTGGTGAGGGGCTTAAGTGGGTTACTACTCTTGCAGGCTGCCCTTCCCTTTTGGTCAAGGGATACCCCTCCTTCAGGCTGCTTGAAGGCCTCCCCATGCCTAGGGCACATGCCCCGGAGTCCAGAGATCTGGCCGCCGGCCTCCCCAGTCAGGGACTGGGGGTGGAGAAGGGGCCCACCCTGAGACTGCCCCCAACACCTGTGCCAAATCACCTCCCTCCTCCCCCAGCCTATGTGGCTTCCCGCCCTTCTACTCCAACACCGGCCAGGCCATCTCCCCAGGGATGAAGAGGAGGATCCGCCTGGGCCAGTATGGCTTCCCCAAACCTGAGTGGTCAGAGGTCTCCGAAGATGGTGAGTGAACCTTTTTACCTTAGCTTGCCCCACCTGGCCTTCATTCTGGGGGTCACTATGTTGTTATTAAACTTAAACTACCTGTATTCAAATCCTGCCTCTTCACTATGTGACCCCAGGCCAGTCATCTACTCTTCTCAACTTTAGTCTCTATAAATGGGTACAAAACTTGCCTCCTCAAAGCTCCCCCTTATGCCTGTCCCTCATTCATACTTTCCCTTTTTGGGGACCACAAACAAGTCTGCCTGTACTAGTTATCTATTGCTGCTTAGCAAACCCCCGCACTTGGTGGCTTAAAACAAGTAGTTAGCTCACTGCTTCTGTGAGTTAGGAATTCAGGAGCACATGTGGCATCTACCCCTGTAGAGCTTGTGGTCTGTGGGGGACTGTGGGGAGACTGCTCTGAGGAATTCTGCCACCTCACCACTCCCCCTCTTCCCCAGCCAAGCAGCTCATTCGCCTCCTGCTGAAGACAGACCCCACAGAGAGGCTGACCATCACACAGTTCATGAACCATCCCTGGATCAACGTGAGTGCCTCCTTGTGCCATAGCAGCCAGGGTGGTGAGCCAGGGTGTGGCTGTCAGCAGGAAGGGGTTGCTCTGGAGCCTGACTTTGCCACTGCAACTTCAGCCTGACTATGCCACTGCTCCAGACAAACTCTTTCAGGTTCATCTGAAAATAGAAGAAAGGGCTCTGGTCGGGGGAGCCACTGTTGTCCCAGGTTCTAATCTATGACTTGGACTCCTTCCAGCAATCCATGGTGGTGCCGCAGACACCACTCCACACGGCCCGAGTGCTGCAAGAGGACAAAGACCATTGGGATGAAGTCAAGGTGGGTGGATTTGGCCTCAGTCTCCCCACAGGGTTTTGGAAATAGGGACTCCTTCACAGGGCTGCAGCTCCAGGGTGATGGCTACTCAGGCCCCTCCCCCACACCTGGAGCAGAGGGATGATGACTGCACCAACAGTTCCACCATGACACTCAGAACATTGGGCCACACTACCCCGTTCAGGGTGATGCTCCCTCAATGAAAGAGGCTTTGGGCCAGGGGCTCAGTGGAAGGGCTTTGGTCATAAACCCCTTTGGTGACAACATTTAGAAGGGTGTTCAGCCTGGTTTTAGACTCAGGAGGGGCCAGGTTTGAGCATTAGGGCAGTTGCTGGGGCTCCTGGGGCACAACCTTCAGGCCCTCATGTCCCGGGTATCCAGTGTCCTCCAGCAGGACAGTGTCCTCTGCAGAGCTTATGGTTCTGAGCAGGTGACATTGCTGCAGCCCTGTCCTACTTGCTTTTGGTGTAGCCCCTTTCTGTGCCTTTTTCTGTACTGAGGATTATATCTGGGAGGAAGGGCCCAATGCTGGGCACACAGTAGGTACTTGGGCAGTAAAGGTTACCGCCATCTCAGGCATTATTAAGGTGCTGCCCAGGATGGAGGCTGGCAGCGCTTGAGGTCAGTACTGCCTGGTCACCCACCCTCTATCTGTCCCCAGGAGGAGATGACTAGTGCCCTGGCAACCATGCGAGTAGATTATGACCAGGTGAAGATCAAGGACCTGAAGACCTCCAACAACCGACTCCTCAACAAGCGGAGAAAGAAGCAGGCAGGCAGCTCCTTGACCTCACAGGGCTGCAACAACCAGTAGCTCGTGGGACTTTGGAGGAGCCTGCCTTCTCAGCCTGGGGGAGACTGGAAAGCACTGAGGCCCTGAGCCGGAGGGCACAGGGTCGTTTTTTAAACAAAATGATTATTTTATTGTGTGTTAATTCATCACTTTGAACTTCAGGATGGGGGACCCTGACTCCAAGCCTCTTTTAGGGTCTTGGCCAATGAGGCCAGAGTCTGGGGGCTAGGGGGCTACCTGTGGCAGTGACAGCACCTTTGGCTGGAGTAACAGCTGTGTCAGCACTGGGGCATGGCCTCAGCTTTTTAGGCCACTGGGAACTGTGTCTGGGCTTCCTTCTACTATGAAGACCACACCCCCACCCCCACCCCTGCAGATGGGTAAGGCCTTGAGAAAGGTTTCTGGCCTTTGGTTGCCATGGTGACCAGGGACGTTGCTATCTATGAATGCTAAGTGAGTGAGTTAGGGAGGAAGAAGGGCAATTGAGGATTGCCTCTGTCTTCTTGGGGAGGCGTGTCTCCCTCACTTGGCTTGTACTTCTCAAGTCCTTCCTCTTCCTGAGGTCATAAGGTCCAGTCTGCCTGCCTCCCTAGGTGGGCCTGTCTTGCTGCAACCCCATCCCACAGGGCCCTTGAGCTTTCTCTCCACAGTTCTGGGCCCAGTCATCTTGTTACTACCCCTTACCCAGAGTGCTCTCTCATCTCAGCTGAGGGTGGAAGGTATTTTTAACCCTTTTCTACTTTGGAAATGTCACTGTGACAAAAGCCAGTACAGTTCTTCAGCCCCTACCTGCTTATTGCATCCCTGGCAGGAAAACCCTAACGGTTCATCCTCTAACCTGGTTATGGAAGGGGATATCTCTTAGTATATTTTTTGTGAAAGTAGATGACTGGGGGCAGGGTTCAGAGGGCCCCCATTAATCAGGGGTCTCTTTCTATACTCCAGGTCAGACCCGAGGTGGTGGAGGGCTGCTGAGAGGTGCTTAGAAGGTCTGGTCCTGGCTTCAGCCTGAATTGGAGCAGAGAGGGTCACTTTCTCACTGGTCTGGGCTTAAATATCCCTACACTGCCCAGGATATCCTTAGGGTGCTGAGGGCCTGGTATGGGCCTGACAAGTGCCTAACACCCAGCCTGGTTCTTGGTTCCTGACACCTCTCTGGTTGGGAAACCCGAGACCACAGCAGATAGGACGTTACTGGGTTTTACCTCCAGATATTAATAAACACCATTTTAGCGTTTTCCTCTTGTTCCTGAGTTTCTGTTTATCTCCATGAGTGGATAAAAGTGGCCCAAGGGCAACTGCTCACCAGTGACTTCACCCCTACTGGAGAGTGTGCTTCAGGCTTGCCAAATGTGCCAGGCTGACTCCAGGTGTGGAAAGGTCAGAGGAACCAAGGGATGGCAGCTGCCCCATGCTCCCAGCTCTGCCTCCTCAGTGCACTGTGTGTGTGACACCCACCCACGCCCCGCGTGTGCCAGCGTCTGCCCACAGTGGCCACCCCCAGCTGCTTGCCAGCCTGCTGAAGGGCGGGCAGAGTGCCTGCTGCAGCGCTGAGCTATTTTCAGAAGCTGCCAGATTTCATTTGGCAGCAAGAATGTCGGGGAGGGGAGGGGGCGGGACGCTGGAAGACTGTCTTTTGACTACTCCAGCAACAGAGCACCCTCAGCCCTCGGGAGCCCTTGCGGGCAGCCTTGAGGGGGGGCCCTGACTGTACCGTATTCCTTCAGCTCCTATCTCAAAAACCTCCATTTTCCAAAAGCTCTTCCGGCACCCTCAGAGCTCCTTCCTCACCCGCTTCCCCTAGGGTATGGGGGGAGGGTACCTAGCTTTTGGAGACTGGGACTGGCGAGCTCTCCTGAGATATGTGCTGCTCCCTAGTCCAGCTTTCCCACTTCAATTTCCCTAACTACATGGTGGGAGTGACACCATATGGAGTCATGTGGGGGATCTGGGAGGATGTGTGTGAAGTCCTTCTTGGGGTGCCCGGTACATGGTTTGTGCCCAGCACTCCCTTGTTCCCCAGCATCTTTAGCTGTCAGCAAGAAGAGAGGTACCTGAAGTTGCTCAAGGGAAAAGCCATTCACCTCAAACCTCCACCCAAGACTTCCTACCAGAAAATCAGACCTTCTCCACCATGGGGTCTCTTTCTACAGGGCCTGCTCTCCGGAACAGTGTAATGTGGGACTTCATGGACCCTGGTTCCAGCTCTGGGCCCACCTTTCTGAAGGGCCCCTGAACACTTCCAAAGAATTTTGGGGGCTTCATGGAGCCTGTGGTTCAGACCAACCTATGTAGTGCACTCTATCCAGTGAAATGCTGACTACACACAAAGAGAGTATCTGGTCATAAAGCTGCAGAGGAGAAGACAGACTCCTTCACTTGGCTACTGAGCACCTACTGTGCTGAGAATCCTTGCTGGGTACAAAGGAGGCAGCAGAGAAAGTTTTGGACAAGAGAGTCACCTCTGGGAATTTATACTCATGAGAGCAAATTAGCACACATATACATGCTGAGTTGTAGGTTTGATATGTTCTATGAAGGAAGCACAGGGTTTAAAACAAGGTATCACAGGGCCTCCCCTGGTGGCGCAGCGGTTGAGCACTGGGCTGCAAAGCTGCCTGCAGTCTCTGCAGCGCCAGTTCGATCCCCGGCTGCCGGCGAGGGTCCCACATGGTGCGCAGACCTCTCCTGCCATGCCCGCTGCTCCTCTCAGCAGTGTATCACTCTGCCTGTTCTGCTCCCCACTCTGGCTCTGGTGAATTCTCTCACCCTCCCGTGCTTCCGACTGTACCCCAGTGCTTGTATAGATAAATAAACAAATGAATAAATAAATAATCTTTAAAAAAAATAAATAAATAAAACAAGGTATCATGGTAGTTTAACCAAAGAGGGAATTTAGATACCCTGGTGGCTGGGGAAGGTGCCAGACAGGTTACAGGGATAAAGGCAGAACTGCAGGGACAGAGGGACTCTGAACGACATATCTGCTTCTCTCTGGGACTGGCCCTGATCATCTGTATTTTCAGTGGGGAGGCACCTGCTAAGGTGTCTGCACGCCAGTGCCATGGAAAGATTTTTATTGGTCATACTTGGCCTATAGCTGTTGTAAGGGAGGGGCATGACCCTTCTGTGACTAGGTCTTGGGGGTTGCTGCAACCATCTCCTTAGCTGCTGTGGCATTTTCAGGTGGCTCAGGTAGCAGAGGGGAAATGGGAGGATTGCCCCCATATTTTCTACATTTGCTTGGCTACTTCTAAGGGCCCATCAGAGCCTGGCCCAGGGGCAAAGCAGTACAGGGCTTGCCACCCTGATTCTGGCATGAGGCACAGTTCTCACAAGTCAGAGCTGGGAGACCGGATGTCTGGCCAAGTCACACTTGGCCTCAGTGTGGCCCTCTGTGAAATGGGAGCAAATCTCTGATAATTAACTGGCATCTGGTGAGCCATAGATTGACAGCAGCCTATTCAGACACAGGCATTGGTATGAATTCCATGGTGGTTCCATGGGACCTTTCATTGAAGGCTATTAGAGGTGTATACACACATGTGGATGTGTGAGTGCTTGTGTGTGTGTGTGTGTGTGTGTGTGTGTGTGTGTGTGTAGGACCTTTCTTCTCAGTGCTTTGTGTGAGTGAGCATGTGTGTATATAGGACATTTCTTCCCAGTGATACTGTGTGTGTGCATGTGCACGTGCACGTGCATGTGTATGTGGGTCGTTTTTTCCCAGTGATGCTCCCCCGACCCAGCCGACAGCAGAGTTCTCTGTCTTGCAGACCTGGTGCTGGCAGGCTTCCAGCAGCCTGGCTCATTGCTATTCCACACCAGCCCCTCTCCGCCCTCGATTCAGCCCCTCCACTGCAGCATCAGAATTGAACCTCAAAATGCAGCCTGCTGCAACCTCTGCAGGGGTCTCAGTGCTTCCAAGTCTGCTTAAAACTCTCTCTGACAGGAGAGGAGTGGTGGTATAGGGCCTGAATGGTTGTCTCTAGACCTAGCTGCCTTGGGCTGAGTCTTTGTACCCCTAGTGGGTTTTCACAGCTGCCCCTCCAGCTCAACAGGGTTAAATTCTTCCCTTTGTCCTGCTCGGCAGTCAGCATGTTCAGTGTGTTGGAATCAAGGCCAGCAGGCAGAGAAGAGTCTGGGAACCCCACCTCCCATTCTGTGTGAGGGGTTATTTAGTTTAGAGCCAGGAGATCTGAGCTTTGGTTTACTTGAGGCCTTGGGCAATGCTCTTTGTAGCTCCCTATCGGTAAAATGAGACCTCAACTAATCAGGGCCAAATCTTTCTGGCACCCTTAGCAGAGTTGCTGCTCCTGGCTGATGTGTTGTGAGATTGCTTTATGTCTCAGGCAGATCATGCACTTTGTTGGGCCTGAGTTTTGTTGTCTATTAAATGGGAATAATTCTCATAGGGTTGGGAGAAGGCAGCAGTGGAACAGGGGAGAGGGGTAGCCATGCCTAAAGACCTTGGTCACCAATGCAGCCTGTGTTTACCAGGTGACACACGGAGCTGCCAGACTCTGCCTGTTCTGTCCTCTCTTGGTTTGCCCTGACCAGGGGAAGGCAGTCAGTGACACAAGGGGCCAGAGCAGCTGGTCAGGGCAGGTTAATTGGGTGTGGAGCCATCTGCTGGTCACCCAGATAAGTGTTCGGTAGATGTCTTCGTGTGCCAGTCTGGGGTACCTCCGGTCCTGTCTGGTAGAGGGAGAGACCACAACATAATAATGAGCAGCTGGCATTTACTGAGTGCCCACTGGGACTGTGCTAGGCTTTACATGGATCATGTCACTCAGTCTCCACATTCCCATCTTACAGATGGAGAAACTGTACCCCAAGCTCTTTGCCTCTGCCCTCTGCTGGAGTATGTCAGAGGAAGGAATACTACTTTTGACTAGTGATAATCATAGAAGGCTTCCCAGAGGTGATGACATGAGTTTGAAGAGTAAACCAGATTTGGATAGACACAGATTTGGGAAAATGACATTCCAGCTGGCAGGTATTGGGTGAGGCAAGGTGAGGAGGCAGGAATGGGGCAGACCTGTGTGAAAATCAGAGAACAGGTTTGTTTAATGGGTGAGAGGCAGTCATGGCCAGAAGGTCTCTCATGGCCTCATCCATCTCCTGCAGGAAGGCAGGGTGGGGGACTCAGGACTGAAATATGAGCACCGGTGGAAGCCTCTCTACCCTAGTGCCCCCAGGGCAATCTCCTGTAAGGTGTACGCATTCCCCTCCCCCCATCCCCATCACATCTGCCTCCCCTGATGATATAGTCAGTGTTTAATGTTAGTTTGTCAGACAATCCATTCACCTCCTGTTGCTGTGGTGGCATTTTCGGGTGGCTCCAGAGCTGGTTGTCAGGTTGTCAGTGTTTTTTCACGTTTAACTTCCTGGGCCCTAGGGTTGAGAGGCAGTCCTAGGGTCCTCCACTCCTGCTTCCGGCAGAGCTATTTTGAATATTAGAGTTTCTTCTGAGATTTAATTTGAACAAAGAGTTTTTGTGCTTTAAAAAGATTATGGACCACTGAATTACACATTTAACACAATTTATCTCAAATTCTATGGGTCAGTATTGGGAAACCAAGACTCAGAAAAACTAAGTGGCTTGCCAAGGACCATGACTGGGCTCTGACATGGTGAAATGATTTCAATAATGTCTTTTCTCCCACTCTGAGCCTTAGAGAGTCCAGGTGCTCTGGGGACAGGCAGAGCAAGAGATGCCTTCCTCTCTAGTGGGCTGCAACCAAGTGGCATAGGGATAAAGTGCTCAAGTATCTATATGTGGCAAGTGGCAGTGCCAGGGTCTGAACCCAGGAGAATGGGTCTCTATAATCCCTTCCCTAAGAGGAAGACTGTTTCTGCCCAACCCTATCTGACCCCTCCTCTGCGTTGGCCTAGCTGGAGGTATCACAAACCTGTCCCTCCCTTTCCCTGATCTTCTGTATCCTTGGCTGCCAGAGGGAAGGCTCTTGGTGGTGACCTTCCATGTTC